GCTGCCCTCTCTCCTCTCGTCTCTCTCTCTCTAATTTCTCTTTGCTCCTCTGTGTCTGTCTCTCTCGTCTCTCCTCGTTTCTCTCTCTCTCTGTCTCGTCTCTTCTCTCATCTCATCTCTCTCTTTGTCTCGTCTCTCTCTCTCTCTGCTTCTCTCTCTTCTCTCTCTCTCTCTCTCTATATATATATATATATAATATTAGTAGTAGTATACCTACCATTAGTATCAACGTAGCTGTTAGCGTATATAACGAACGTATACACTCTACAACTAAGAGCGATACTATACGGCCAGGCTGGTCGCCAATCTATCGTTGACATAAAGCAGAAGCGTTCCTAATGTTGTTTCGAGTCGCCCGTGGCTAAAAAGAGAGTAGGGCCGTCTGTCTCACTCCGATCTACTATAAGTAAAGCCGCAGCATACGATAATCTCTTTATGTTTTGGTTTTCGGTATTACCTTTTACTCTACCCGCGAATCGCACGGAAGTTGTTAGTAAAACACGACAAAAATTACTGGTTGTGCAAAAAACGCGGAGTGTGTAGCACAAAGGCTTACTGTTATTTATAAAAGGCAGGCAGGCGTATAACTGCGAGCGGGTTTTTTGTAAAAATCCCGGTCGGGTGGCGCGCAGGCGCGAATTATTAAAGGATACGCTCTTGTTTATGCGAACGTGCATGTTTCTGCAAAATCTGGCATGTACTGCGAGCGGTTTTTCGTAAAAATCAGGCGCGCGGTGGCGGACACAAAGCTTCCTATATAGCAAATTTGTAATCTACGGCGAGTCGTACCGGGGAGGGTTCTTTCGTTTTAAAATCAGACAGTCAAATCGATAACACTGCCGTTAGTAAATATGAGGCGTGGGCGTGAGATCAATGTCAAGATGGTCTTTTCAGCTAATAATAGACGGTGCGACTCCAATCTCCAGATCACGTTCTCCGCACTACAAAACAGAAAAATCATCGAGCGATTTTTGATTAACACAGCAACAGCGGTTTTTATTTCCACTGCTAATTCCACCGTTCAGAGCCAAAGAGCCATATAATACCTAATATCATTATATATATACCTATTTATATCTGCTATAGATACAACAACGCGGCACCTACGCATGCAACACACACACATATCACCACCACCACGGCACGCCCACGCACGGGACACAGTCACAACACAGCACCATGCACGCACCGCAAGCGCGCACGCAGCGGCACAACCACCACGCACGCACGGCACAGCACGGGCACACACTCTGCTGTCTCTCTTCTCTCTCTGCTCTCTCTCAGACACACACACGTCGCCAACGATGTTCAATATTAGGACCGGCGCTCGCCACACACAACACACACACACACACAGGAAGAGAGAGGAAGGGGGCAGAGGGCGAATGTAAAGAGAGTCTGCTTGCATTCATTTGCTCGGTGCACAAGCCGCGAGCTATTCGCGCTGAAAGAGCGAGAAAAAATTCTATACTTTGCTTTTTTGCTTTTTGGCGAGTCATTGCCGGCGATTCTCGTGATTTTGCAAATGCGGATGAATCATCACCCCAGGGCAGCTGCTGCTGCTGCTGCTGCTGCTGTAACTGCTGCTGCTGCTGCTGCTGCTGATGCTGCTACTGCTGCTGCTGCTGCTGCTGCTGCTGCTGGTGGTGGTA